GGAGGTTGTACAGGTAGTGGTGTTGGGCAGATTTGACAGCATGACCTACAAACATTGGTAAAATAAACACTTCAATTCAGGCATGCATTTCACGAGATGTTTGCATATTTTTGTCCATCCCCTATATGAGATTTCTGTGTTTACAGTGCTTGATTGTAGGAGTGCATTGATTGTATGGTGGTCATCAGGAAGTAGGTTTAGTGTATATATATATATATTGTAGCGTGTTTTGCGTGTCACGCTACAAATAAACTCACGTAGGTCTCAAATTCCGTAGAANATCCCACTAGATTTTTACATACTCTTTGCAAAAATTGAGACATTCATCATGCCCAGGGACAAGTTTTTCTGTTCCTGTTAGTTGAAGTGTGTTCATTTGACTCAGTCCAGTTTCAGTCATGAACTCAATGCATACATACAGTGAGCAGCAGTGCAGGCAAACCAATGTGCATTGCTACCAGCAGTGATTAAAATATCCCTCCAACATACCTACAATAAATGTGCGTCCTTTGGTTGCAAGATTATCAACTAACCAACTCCACAGACCCAAATCATTCTTGCGATTCCCAGCATCTTATGTACACTGACAGTTCATTACTGTGTTCACTGGTTTGTATCCTGAGGAAGGTGAATCCAGTCTACACCCCCCATTCTGCTTCTCTGAGATGCTTTTAGATATTATCTTCTGATGTACATCTAGGTCTTCCTATTGGTCTCCTTCCTTCAAGTTTTTCTACCAAAGCCCTATATGCACTCATCTCCCATGTATGCTACATGCCCTGCCCATCCCCTCCCCCTTGACTTGATCACTACAGCATTATATGTACATCTTGTAAACTTACTTCCTGGCCATTCTTATATCTGTATATTTTGAGTGTAGATCCTTTTGTGATTTATGTTCCCAGTGGACTTTTCACAAGACAAATTTTGTATGCATTTTATAAAGTAACATGGAAACATTTCTATGAAGTATGTTGTAAGTAATGAGAATTGTCACCCCCTCCCTCCATTCTTCCAAATACAAAAGTGTTTTCTGATAATAGCATGTACCTCATTGTGAGCCTTGTTATTATTTTGTACACACCCTTACAGCTCATAACTATTTTACTGTTTTCAAATGTGTCTATTTTCTTGGATCTAAATTACACCATCACATCAGTGTTTTCCTATATAACAGTGTGTGTGCATGTTATAACAAATGACAAAATCTTGGATTCAATTTAAGAGTTGCACTAAATGAACTGGAATATTTGTAGTGTGCCAACTGGAAGAACTAAACTAAAAATAGTTCTGATACTTACCAGAAAGGTAAATTCACTTCCATTTTGCCATTTTCAGTGGAGATGTTTTGCGTAATGCAGTTGTACTGTAGGCATGTTAGCATGAGAAAGAGATATATTTAAATACTGTAGAGTATAACTGACATATTTGAAAGTTAGTTATATTATATATATAATATATATTGTGCAAGTTCAATTTTGTTATGAAGATGTAATGAATATCAAGAAATGTGGATTCTTGCCAATTTAATGTGTATGAATGCTAATTTTATGAACCATATAAAAATGGAATACATTTCTTGCATTTACATTTGTGATATTTCTTTTGCTACTGTATTCATATCTAATTTGATCTGTAGTGGTTTATTACACAAACATTTCCATATAAAGAAAGGCACAGATGTTGGTATACACTTCCAAGTTTGAGACTGTTTATTTCTATTTTATATTCACAAATCCTGGAATAGTATATATGTATATTAATGCAAAAACTTCTTAAGACTAAGTTTATTGTGATTACTGATATTTTGCATCTGAAGAATGTAATTATAAAATGAATATAGTGTCCTCCATAAAGAGATAAGCCACACAAATAAGAGTCGGAAAACTTCATGAAAGAAAGGCATCTAATTTCTGTGAAGTATGTCATATATTTTAGATTTTCAAGTATACAGCAAAACTCCACTGCTTCTCTAAATTGAATCAAGTTATATATTACAATGTAGCAATTCTGTTAATGTCCTCTTGCTTTTCAAACACTGCAACCGAGCCGTAATGCATCATTTGTAATGTAAAATATTACAGTCTCATCATCATTTTGGTTTGTGTGCTGTGCAATTTGCTGAAATTAATAGTGTTAGCTGTAAATTTGATCTATTTGCAGTGGTGAGTTTTATTTTAAAGAAGAGTGTCAGCCTGGCTCAAATGTGGGTGACTGCCCATGTTCCCCTCAGACTGACAGTTCACAACCATTAACTTTAATTGTTATGTAAATTATGAAATTGTGACCTGGCAGAAAATCACCACTGTTGTATCCATCAAAGAATTAACAGCCAATGGCGGACAGTTTAAAATCCTATGTTATACAAGCCTAAAACAAATGAGTACATATAAAAATAGTTATTACACAAGCTTTCTGTCCCTAAACAGATGCAGTAATGAAATAATAATCTGTTTTCTCAAAAAGATAAGTTGGCCCATTATTAGAAAAGACAGTTATGTGCTCAAGAAATGGCAAAGATTAGCAAGGAATGCTTATTGTATGAATTAGGTAATTTACAGATGTTCTCACCACTTGTACAAAGATGTAATCATTTTTATATTGGATTTTTCTGCATTTTGTCATTTGTGAACCAACCAATATAACTTGAGGGATAAGACTTATTGTCATACTCTTAAGTATGATATATTGCTCAATACAAATTGGTGGATATGGTTAATTTCTGTTTCCAGCATTCTAATTGTTGGAATGCAGTTATGTTTGACTGTGTGTTAAAGTATAATGGGACACTTGATATTTGCATTCCAAGGAAACATTCTGTACTTCACTTTATTACCAACATGTGAAATGCACATCTGCATCAGATGTTGAACAAATTCTGAATTTTCAGTTGTCCCACAGATCAAAAATGAAATTATTTCTTATGAAACATAAAATAATTTCTATACAAGTATGTTGTAACTTCAGTGCTGTAAATGTATTGATTTGTATATCATTTGTACATAAGAATTCCACTTTTAAGGAACAACATGCTTAATAGCTATTTTGTGTTCTGTGAATTATTCATGAATAATACTGTTTAAGTGTACATACATTTTTAATTTGTCTCTTAATCCAATATAGCATTTCAGAGAAATGAAAATTGGATATTACTGAGCAGTACCAGATTAGTGTACCTCCACAGTAATACTTCTGGGAAGTACCCACTTCAGTTTCCTAATTAAAGGTCTCTGTGGCTTCCATTCTTCTGTACATATCATTGCAGCCTTTTGTCCCCTCCTTCCCTGTTCATTAAAAATTTTCTAGTTTAGTGTTGCATAGCTCTGCAGTTCGCTCCTAAACTTTGCATCAGTGTTGCTGATCATCTGAGAGAATATTTCATGGTACAGTGAAACTCTGGCTGCTTTTTACAGCAGTGGATTTGGACACAGAAAAATCGTTAATGGAGGTAATTTAATACTCTGACTATTGGCTTGTAATCACTGAAATGCCAGTCATGGTAGTCTAGTGGTCTAAGGCATGAACTGTCTTCACTCACTCAGAAACCAGATTCATGGGTTCGAATCCCACATGAGGCATGGATGTTTGGTTTGTGTAATCCTGTGTTTAGGTAGAGGGCTTGCAATGAGCTGATCACTCATCTAAGGAATACTAAGGTCTGTAAAATTACAAAAATGAAAATAACAACCTTGACACCATAGAGGAGGAAGGAAAATCACTGAAACTAAACATTAAATGAGTGAAAACCCTATATAAAGGAACATTAAAAGGGGGTTATGTTGTGTTTAATTGCTCTTGAATACTTCTGTTTTAAGTAACTTTTATTTCAGATTCATGCTGGATTACAGTAGCTAGAGAGTAGTTGTATAGACTGAATGAGTCTCTTTTTCCTTGGATGTTTATGAATTCTCATATATTTTAAGCCTGGCAGCACGGTAGAAACATAACCAACTTGTTCCAATCTTGCAGTAATGCAAAATTAATTGATCCCTATATAACAACAAATATTTTGTTTATGGAAGCCTGCTTCTGTTTATTATTATTAATCACATATACCTTTACTTTACATTCCTGCTTGTAAACCTATGGTTCAGCACAAAACATCACAAAATATGTAACAGCATGATCAGGATACACCATTACCACATGACTAGTATATTTACAAAACTTTAAAACATGCACAATATTTTATTTGTAAATTGATGTATAATATTCTTCTTCCAGATCATACAAGTCAGCAGCCATATCATCTCTAAGACTTTTTAATTTTTGATCACATTCAGCTTGTTTTGTTCTAAATAGCTTGGAGTTCTGAGTGATGGCTTCATTCACAGAAGGGAAATCATTAAGAATGAGATACTGCTTGATGTCTGACACAAGTTTCATTAAGGATTCGCCAGCCCGCACCTAGAAGTAAAGCAAACTGAGTAACAAATTTGATTAAAAGCCAGAGATGAAAAGAGGAAATATCAGAGACCCGGTCAACAGCAAAAGTCAATGTAACTTACATACAGGAGGAAGGAAAGGGCCACAAAACATTAGTCAGATATTTCATTCACAGTGTTGACTTTCTTAATCAGATTCTATATTATTAATAGCAGGCCAGAGCAGGTATAGAGTATGTGTGTGGTTAACGACAGAATACATGGAGAATTTTAAGCGGGGTTGACGAGTTCACGGTGACCAGTGCACTGCAGGATGTATGCAGGTTTTGCCAACTTAGCATGCTTGATAGCATTTAACCTTTGGAATGAAGTAAAACAATTAATTTGTAGACCTCTACTGGTATTACGTTAACGTCGGTCAACACAATATCTACAAGATACCACACCGCAGAAGACTGCTTTCTTCATCGTCACTGCCGTGAAAACCTCAAATCTTACATATCATTGTGCCTGTTTACCTGTGGGTCTTCAGCCTCACAAATTGTTCATGAAATATGGATGTGATGGTTAATGGAAAAAAATACAATATTCACATTTCTACACTCACTGCCTGCATAACTAAAAATATGTAGAATGCACACAGTACAATAATTGTGAGTGGTCCACATACAAGATTTATCACATCTATTTCATTTTAGTAACATATAGGGCCATTAATAACCATGTTATAAACAAGTCTGCTTAATTCTACCACTGCAGAATATAATTTGCACTGTGTACAGTGAGACATAGTACTCAGCAATCAATTTGAACAGTATGCCTGCAGAATTTTTCAGAGATAATACTGAAGATACTAAAATTATGGCTTTCAGAGGAAGGGAATTAATTAAAAACAAGACGGGGATTAACGATGAATACTGGAATAGATTAATACTGTTATTTGTGATATACACATGCCATAAAGAAGTAAAAAGTAAAGGTACCCCCGTAACAGGCTGTGGAGGCCCATAGGGTTGTGAGATGTTGAGGTTCCCACATTTTCTAGACAATTGACTCATAGATGGCAGCAAGGTCGTCAGCCCTACATGCCAGTCACCCTTTACCCCCAAGAATATTTCAAGAATATTTTTGGTACTCATTTCTGTTAGAGGCTGAGTCGACCCCAGGGCCATAGTGCAGCTGGAAGGATTAGGTCCACTGAAAAAATCCAATGATCTCATCGAGACTTGAACCCACAAACTTCAGGCTTGTAGCATAGTACCGCAACCAACTATGCTACCACATGCCCCATACCATAAAGGAGAAAAGATTTTATTGTAAAAACTGTAAATTCTGTAAGAATTCTATGAATTACAAACCAGATTTTCAAATTATCATTACTTCCAGATATGAATTTGAGTAACATCTTATGGCTGCAAATCATGGAGCATAAGCAGAACTGATGACAGAAGAATGGCATCCAGAAAAATTTGTTCCATTAGGACTGCAGCATACAACCTTCAGGACTAAGTGAAATCATGATAGAACTAAAAATTCCAGATGTATCAGAATTTATATAGTAGTGAAAAAAATGTAAAGAACACATTAAAAGTATGAGTTCTGATAATACTTAAGAAATGAGCAGTTGCTTCTCTGTAATTATTCATTACAAGTCTCAATAAACCTGTTTTATCAGACCATGAGTCAGAAAAGGTGGAGAACCACTAGTCTAGTGGATAACTTTGAGTATATATACAAAAGCAGAATATCTCCCAGAGAAGTCTTTAACTAGATAAAATGAGGCAAATTTAAAAGAAAATCGTTTGAAGAATGGTAAAACAAAATAAGAGTTGAAAAGGGCAAGCAGAGAGATGATATGTTCTCATTCTCTACTGTTAAATTTGACTATAATCTGACATTACAATTGTTACAGTATAAAATTTCAACCAGCAGACATTGTAACTATGTCCTGAATTCATTGCAATCCAACTTACAATATTTGCTGCTCGGACATGCATTTCATAAGTATCTTGTTCACTCTGGGTCATCTTTGACAACTGAGTATCATTTTCACCTTTGGCCAGCTTTACTATTTCTGAAATAACACAATCAATGTCACAATTTTCATCACATATTCAAAGAATGGTAGAAAGTACCATGAGAATTTTAAGCAGGTTGATGAGTTCACAGTGACCGGCGTGCTGCGGGATGCATGTGAATTTTGCCAATGACTTAGCATGCTTGATGGCAGCTAACATTTGGAATGAAGGAAAACAATTAATTTGTAGACCTCTATATGGTATTATGTTCAGGCATGAGAGTTTGTTTATGATTTGTCAGCAGTGGGCAGCAGTTATCAGCGCCATAAGCCATTTCTTCCCAGTTAACAGTTAGTCAACAGTGTGGCACAACATGATTTGCTATACTTTCAAGCAATGTGTATTTCTGTAGGACACCTATGTGAAATACTGATCTGCTGGAAAGTGTTGGCAAAAATTTTGACAAATTTTATGATGAAAGAGTTCCCAGTAGACAAACAATTAATAATTTAGTGAATAAACTTATAACAACAGGACTCTTAATGGACAAGAAAAAAAAGTGTTGAGTGCTTACTGAGAAGTTTGACATAGGGGCAAGACTTGAACATACACCTAGAAAATCACTGAAACATCTAGCTCAGGAGACTGTAGTGTCAAAGTCTAGCACTAGAACAGCAACACAACAGCTGAAGCTATCCAGTGAAAGTTGGTGTCTAGTATGCTGTTAAGTGCAACACCTCCTGTAATCTGTAAATAAAGGTGAGAACTGCCCTTCATTCCAAATTCTATCAGCATGCTGAGCCATCAGCAATATTCACATCCACTCTGCAGCAAACAGTGCTCCAGTCCCCATGAAGCACAGTGCTGTGAACTCACCAAATTTACTAAAAAAAACATCCTGTACTTACAAGTACTGATTTTGATGCATATTCTCCACCACATCAAACAACCATTGCAATGTTCAGCCTCTGTACACAGATGTGATCATTAACCATTAATGTAAATTAATAACCTAGCTATCTATCATCAACAATAACTTGCAGCCTAATTTTCTGCTGAAAAGAACATTTAGAAGTACTGACTTTCATTATACATACATATCTTGTGGGTTCATTTTCCTTGATCATTTTAAAATTCTGGGGTACAATTAACTTCCACAACGATCTGCAAAATTGCATTGCAGTTTTAAGACATGAATGGACAGTGATGGACGACCGAAATATTTTAGGCTTGTGGCAATAATAATAAATGATTATTTCGACTTGTGTATCCCAAGAGAAATATGGAGGAGTTATTATAACTTACAAAATGTTAACTAATTTCTGCTTTACGAATTCGCTAGTTTATTCAGTTTCTATATGTATGTTTTATATTACCTTCAAAATTCTCTAGCATAGACTTGACATCATCCTTTAGTCTTGTTGTGTACGACTTCAACAGAGCTTCCTTGCTTTGTGGCAAACCCCTAGAAAGTGCCATTCTACTGCATGGAATTATAATATTAAATTGCTAACAATGTATAACCTATTTTACCAAGCGCTCTGTCTTATCTGAGGTTTAATTTGTCTCAGACCTCGCTGTATTTGTGTAGACAAAATATCCACCTAATGTTCAAATAACCTTACAAATAACTGTCGGTTGTATAGTGTCAGCGAGACGTTTCTTGTCATACGAAGACACCTGCAGATGAAACTGCAAATAATCCACTTCCACGTGAAAAACAAACGCTATTGATTAAATCGTCCAATCTTACACATGCAAGGACATTTTTGAATATAAAAAAAAATGCCGGTTAATTCATTCATATTCATATTCGTGGATTTTCTTTTTTTTGTCTACACAACAAATTGTGGGTTTCTGAAAGGAAGTCGATCATTCCGAAGTTCTGAACGTTCTGAACGTACTATATCACGAACGGAACAGGAATAACAAAATACTTCCTCTAGCGTGTTTCCTGTGCTAGGACCCAGAGGTCGCCAGAGCTTGTTCATGCTGGCATAGTTTAGGGTGATGTAGTTTGGCGTTAAAATCGTTTTAAATTTTATCCATCTTGTGAGATAACCACTCGAAAATGGTGCAGAAGAAGGTTTGTATTGTGTGAATGATTATAATCAAAATAGGTGTTTTCGAATTTGCGTAGGTGATGAAGGAATATGCGTTTAAAAGTGAATATGTTGGTTATAATTTTAATAGAACTTTGTCGTATTATAAAATTGTGAAAATGAGATATTAGGTATTATATTTAAGCATCCTGTTACACTCACACAATATATATGAGACAAACTCCGTCTTAAGTGCAACAATTTTATTGTAGTTCTTTCTTCTTCCCTTCCTCCACACTACATGTTTCGGCCCTAAATGGCCATCATCAGGTGTGTATTCTTACGTAGCTGCTACACTGCCCGTTGTTTAAAATTTAAATTCACCAGTCTTTCCAATTGTATGTATGTATAAAATCTTTGTTAACCTACACGCGTAAATTTGATTTCTAAAATTTGAACTTTTTTAAAACTTCAATTCAAAATAAAATGTCTATAAATCTTCTTTTCTCTTTCCAAATGTTTAAAAATTAAAATGTTCTCGGGGTACACGCCCTATGTCTATAGCGCTGCAGCGGCTACTTGTTTTATCGCTGTTCAGGTATTTTTCTGTGTTAGGCTCTCTCTGTGTGTGTCGCTGCTTATCTTTAATATGTGTGCTCATCCAGAGCCTACACAGAATACCTGAACAGCGATAAAACAAGAAGTAGCCGCTGCAGCACTATAGACATAGGCCGTGTACCCCGAGAAAATTTTAATTTTTAAACATTTGAAAAAAAAAGATTTATAGACATTTTAATTTGAATTGAAGTTTTAAAAAAGTGCAAATTTTATAAATCAAATTTACGCATGTAGGTTAACAAAGATTTTATACATACATACAATTGGAAAGACTGGTGATTTTAAATTTTAAACTACGGGCAGTGTAGCAGCTACGTAAGAATACACACCTGATGATGGCCATTTAGGGCCGAAACATGTAGTGTGGAGGAAGGGAAGAAGAAAGAACTACTATAAAATTGTTGCACTTAAGACGGAGTTTGTCTCAGAGATATTAGGTGTTACTTCACTTGTATTTAGTGTTATGTGTCTAGAAGTTCAGGCACGTTCGATTCATGTATTGTGTACTAAGAAGTTATTTGTGACAAAAATGAGTATCACTTATGAGTATAGTGAATACTTGCACAAGTTCATGATGACTTGTTACTGCCAGGATCTGCGACCCACCAATCATTTGTTAATTTCCCTGAATTATCATTTTAATCAATAATTGTCTTATACAGATACTCTTTTTTGTAGCCAAAGAAAAAAGTAGGAAAGAAGGTTGCTGCAGCACCTTTGGCAGTGAAGAAGTCTGAACCAAAGAAGGTTGTCAATCCACTGTTTGAGAAAAGACCAAGAAACTTTGGCATTGGTAAGATGGAATATACATATAAGTTCTGTTTCAGGAAGAATCTTGTATACATTTATTAGAATCTGATGCAGCTGTAAACTGATCATTCTTGTACAAGTATTTTGAGTTATCAAGAATAACTGGAAGTTTTATTTCTCCTTATCAGGTCAGGATATCCAGCCATCTCGAGATTTAAGTCGATTTGTAAAATGGCCAAAGTATATCAGAATTCAGCGCCAGAAGGCTGTACTGCAGAAACGTCTGAAAGTACCACCCCCAATCAACCAGTTCACCTCAACAGTTGACAAACAAACTGGTAATGTAATTATCTGTGTGCGTAATGCTCAGCTCACACACACACACACACACACACACAACATGAANGTCTGATGCTAGTAAGCTGGATTTATTGTCTTAGATGTTTTAAATTGGTGGTTCCTAATGTTAAAATGATGTCCTCCCCTTTGATATTCAAATATGTATGTATGTATGTCCACCCCATTTGAATTGAAACAAAGTAGTGCTTTGGAATGATGTTTATGAACATTTAATTTGAAATGATTTTATCAGTGTGTCTGGTGCATGTGGAAAGTATTGAGAAAATATGATATAATAATTTCTTTTCTTGCTTTTTTATATTCATCTGAAGATACAAATTACAAACCATTATTTGTTACAGCAGCATTAGTTGGGTTGAGGCTGTTCTCTATCCCACAGTAAAATGTGACACATATTTACTTTTATAACAGTAGGTTGTATAAGGGGTTACATTTCTCCCTGACAGTGAAAGTTCTTGTAGATAATGCTTGAAAAAATATTTTCAGTCATATTGCTCTAATAACAAATAGAGGATAAGGAAATATAGTTCCATAAAGTTTTGTATTAGAAAACAGCAAATGTGTTGGGGGTATTATTGACCTGTAGCAAAATGTGAGTACAAATAGAAATTTTAAAAATGAATGGTTGTTTTTATTTGGTCAGGTAAGTGGTGTAGTTGCCAATGGTAGGTATCATTAAATTAGCTAGAAGAACTGAGTATTTGAGTTGATTTTGAAGTTAAAATTTGATACTCATTTGGAGGGGGGCAGTATTTGGGAACTGCAGTTTTAAGTGCTGTACTGTCCTAGATTGCAGTCATCTGCCTTCTATCTTTTGTGTATTTATAAGTAATTGAAATGTCTGCAGAACATTGGGTTATAGTGACTAATTAAGCCAAATCTAATGTCAACCCAAAGGTTAACAAGTCTTTTAAGAACAAAGCCTACTATTGGAAGTTATTGTCAGTCAAGTCCATTTACCTCAGATTTCACAATCCACATCTCCAGGATCCATATTTGCGCCTTGGCCTTACAAGCCTGTATTTTTAAAGAGGTTCCCACCATAAAAAATCTGTAAGCAATCGTTTCCCCCATGGTCCATTGTGGCCTCTAATAACTCTTTTGAATATTTTATGAGCCCAGGCACTGTGGATGGATGTGTTCATGATGACATATGTATTTGCTATCTGAGTACTGAAGACACCTTTTACCACCAAGATCTCTGAAACACATCACCACAGTATAAGTACTGCATCCTTTTAATGTTTAATGAATGAAAGGCTTTGTCAGAAAGCAGTTTATGCTCTATCTGAATGGAGTTCCCTGAAAGTGTTCTAATTTATATTAATATCATTGTAAAGATTGCACTTTGTTTAGCTCAAGCTCTATTCAAAATACTGGAGAAGTATCGTCCAGAGACTCCATATGCCAAGAAGGCCAGGCTACGAGCACGTGCTGAAGCAAAAGCTGCAAAGAAAGAGGAAGCACCCACAAAAAGACCCAATGTTTTGCGTCAAGGCAGCAACTGCGTTACTAAGTTGGTAGAGCAGAAGAAGGCTCAGCTGGTTGTCATAGCACATGATGTTGACCCAATTGAGGTTTGTGTCAATTTTTTCTTCCTCCCACCTTCATTGGGTGTTATTTTGAAATACTTTATGAAGAAAACTACAGAAAACTTCGGGATTTTTATAGTCATGGCTAAAGTTCAAATGCAAGTTTAATGTGTTAACTGTTAGACTGGTCTTCCCAGTTCATACCAATACCACTAGGCTAATTTGTCCAGTATTTGATATATTATGGCATAACACATATAACTGTTGACCTTCATTACACTGAAATGGTGATAGTAGTTCTGAACTTCACTTTAATGAATTGTAGTTATTTTAACTGTCTCCTCTGCATTTTCTGAGTTGCCATCACACTACATGAAGCCATCGTACAGTTATACCATGTTGGATATTTCCAGAAATCACCACCACCATTGGCAGAAAGGCCCTTCCATAGCCTTCCTTAGAAACTTCTGCTAGGATTGTTTTGAATTAGACCATCTGGTTTTCAATTTGGATTTTGCAACAGTAATTTTTTACGTAGCAGGGTCATCAACCTTGCATCCAACCCCCCTACCTGTAGGACCAGGTCCTTTATTTATGTCCCCTAGTGACAGGGCTGTCCAGTCATACTTCCAGGCCCCAGGTTACCTTTTCATTGCCTTCAGCAACTCCCAAGGCAATGGTTGAGATATTCAAAATCCTTATCCAGACATGATATTTGCCAGAAATATAAATATGTAATACATTTAGACTTTGAGGTGGAACTGATAGGGCCGCACTATGGCCCTTGTGTCGGCTCAGCCTCTAACAGAAATGAGTACCAGGAATATTCTTGAAATATTCTTGGGGGTAAAGGGCGGCGGGCATGTAGGGCTGACATCCTTACCGCCACATATGAGCTGATTGTCTAGAGGATGTGGGAGTCTCAACATCTCAAAACCGTATGGGAGTCCACGGCCTGTTACAGGGATACCTTTAGTTTTCCATTCCCCCCCCCCCNCCCAATTCACTTGGTGGGGGGTGGGGTCCAGCTGGGCCCACACTGCATGACGGCCACTGATTGGCTTATTGTACCCACCCAGGGTGATTATGATAATGGATAATTTGGTGGAATGAAGATTGGCAGGGGAAACCGAAGTACACAAAGAAAACCCACCCCAGCACCACTTTGTCCACCACCAATCGCACTTGACCGAACCTGGGCCGCCATGATGGGAAGCCAGCGACTAACCACTTGAGCTGTGGCACAGCCCTTTACTTTACTTACTTACTGCAGAACATAGGGTCTCCCTGACCTAAGCCAATAGGACATACCCATGTCTAAACTGGGAATGAACACAGATGTCTTGGGTACGGTTTTGTTACCTAATTCGTGGTACAAGACGTGATCAGTTGAAAAATGCTAATAAAGCATAATTGCAGTGATTTTATGAGAGTGTGGAAATAACCTGTACACCTTCCTGGACACACTGCTATACAAATTTGTTCACCTAGCACTGCCAAAGATTGCAAATGTCCTGAGTTACATGATTGCCCTGCCATGTGGCTCATGTCCATTTTATCTGCAGTACATAACGTACTGAAACAACAGGCAATTGTGACATGCAAGCAGAACCTATAATGCCACTCCCAAAACCCACCTGTTTGTCAGTATGCACTTTTTGGCTGGTGCCATAATGTCTCAGTATAGTGACTAGGCTATGGGCTGGATAGCTGGGGAGTTGGGGTTGTTCCTCTCACTGGGAAAGATGTTATGCCTTTTGAACATAGTCCAAATTTGTTCAAGTGCCCACCCAGCCTCATATGCAATGGGTACTGGAGGTTCCTTCCCTAGGGAGAAGGCAGCAAGGGCTTGAACCTGACCACCATGTGCAACACATAGCTGGTATGGGTTAATGTGATTAGTTTTCATATTTAAATGCAGTTGATGATTGTACACATACCTGAAGTTCAGTTTAAACCTTGGAAATGTTAAGGTTGTCTTTCAGAGCCACAGTTCTGTACTTTGTGGATGATATGTAGCTAAAGTTCATATGTTTAGAACACTGTGATGCAAAATGAATTTCTTCACCTGAATGTCACACTGCTTTGTTGACATGTGTTAGAAGCATGACACTGAGTGTTCTGGTATACACAAAGACTGATCACGCTGTGGGTAAGTTCATTCAGAAAAACGTTTTTAATGTACAGGCTTAACCTGCAGAGTAGATAGTACTATTTCTAAGCCTTTTCGATGTTGCAGAGGATTGTGATGAGGAAATACCACCATTCAGACTTTTTCCTGCTATCTGCAGACACTGAGATATATTAAAAAAAATAGCTCTTCCTCTTATTTTATATGGGTGTGAACTGTCTGTCGACTTAAGGGAAGGCTTTAAATTGAGGACATTAAAGTGGATGCTAATAAAATTATGATGGCAGGGGTGTAGACAGATTCCACTGGCTATTTATAGGGGCCCATGATTGCTGCTTGTAAATATGTCTGTGCAAATTAATGGTTTAAAACTCGCTGGTCATTATACATGCCACCTGTTTTAACATAGTGAAACTCAACACTTTGCCATTGGAGTGTATTTAAGCATTTTATATGGATTCATGCTTAATCTATTGTAGTTTTATTACTGTGTGTAGACCAATATTAAAAATGTAAGCAATGATACTATTTTTACATTCTCAGTCACTTGTGCAGTTTTAATACTATGACATCAGAGTTTAAAATAACTGTTTTTAAAGACTTCTGTAACACTGAAGTGAAATGGTGTAAACAGTTGTCAGATTTCAAAGGAGCTTTTTAGATACTGTGTCTTGCTCAGTTTTGACATCATTCAGCTTGTGAGGAAAATGTTTTAGAAGTTTTGTGTGTATTGCTTCAGAATTCAGGGAATTCTAGAGGAATGCATTTATTTTTTGCAGCTGGTATTATTCTTACCAGCCCTTTGTCGCAAGATGGGCGTTCCCTACTGCATAGTGAAAGGCAAGGCTCGTCTTGGGACACTGGCCAGAAGGAAGACATGCACATGTGTTGCAGTAACCCAGGTAACTTTGCCTTCTATAGTGTTCTTGGCTCTAACCACACCTTGGACATTTCATATAAGATACTGCAGAGTTTATTCAGGGAGGTATTCAGCTTTTTTAATATTGTTTGCCTGCTGATTGTAATCTCCATGAAAGAAATCAGGCACATTTCATATTGTTTCTTCTCTACTCTAAAGAGGATTGAGACATCCATTTTCTCTGTTTTTTTTTGAGAAACTAGACTCATTGATTCTCCCATGAAGAGTACCCATTGGATCCTAAATTCTGATCTAAGCTCAGTTTTCAATTTTCTTAAGATGTTCTCCATTTAGTGTTCCTGAAACATTATATTGTCATGCGTATAAGGGTGTGGCTTATAAGGCAAGTTTTCGATTAAATGTTCGGATTTATTGCACCTTATGCATTCACACTGTTCTGGACTACAGCACTATCACTATTCTACACAGGCACTAGGATTCTGTCTTCACTGGCAACAGATTGATCACAGTCTCACTGTCCATCCCACACATGAAGCCTTCCTGGCACAGTCGTAATTTCTTGCCATTTCTTTTCAATCCACCTTTAGCCGCCCCCCCTCCCCCAATGCATGCATCTTATATGTAAAAGGTTATAGAAATGAAATTCCTTCAATGCTGTATTCTACATTTTGTTTGTTTTAAAGTTCGTACATTTTGTGTATTATCATTCGTAGTTTTGGAAATATTTGTATTTAAAAAAGGGTACACAATTTGAAGTAAATATCACTTAAATCAGGCAGTGGGCTTCTACAGGGAGGATTTAAATGTGGTACAATAGAAGTTGAAAGTGATAATTGCAAACTACAAGTACTTACTTAAAGAGGGTGTGAAAAAGAAAATGCAGATGTCTTGTAAACAGATGCCATTATGGCTCAATGCCAGGATAAGCAAATTGGGCACAAGGTCAGCTATATACATGAATTAATTGTGTGGGGAATGGGTTGCAGCAGTGTTGAATGATGTTTTCAAACTTTGTTTCTCCATAGATGATATGCGACATGTTAGTACATAGCTGAATTTCGCAGGCCAGGAATACAGTTCTCATTCAGTGTTGTTGCATTTAATAAAAAATATTCTTTGTGTTCAGGTGGATTCTGGTGATCGTGCAGCCTTCACAAAGGTGGTAGAAGCAATTAAGACCAATTTCAATGATCGCTTTGAAGAAATCAAGCGGCATTGGGGCGGTGGTGTTTTGGGCTCCAAATCTGCAGCAAGAATTGCAAAGATTGAAAAGGCTAAGGCAAGAGAACTTGCACAGAAACAGGGTTGAATATCATGTACAGAGTTACATAAATAAATGTGTGAACATGCAGTATTGTCTGTACTTTCCATCCATTATTTTTCACCTCAGTTTGGTGTTTGAAATGTATCATATGAGACAGTTTGGTTACAGTTTTTATGCCACCCAAAACTAAGATAGTGGTTGTTTTTAACATTAGTACAAACAAAACCAAGGTTTCTGGTTAAAGAGAAAGAAATTTAGCATAGATTAAACACTCTGCCTATAAGTGTTGTGAGCTCTGTACCCCTTGAAGATCCATTTGATTTATGACAGGACTTAGACTTGTCTCTCATGCTGAAGTACCCTCAGAAAATGTATGGGGGAGTGAAGGTACAACTTGACCATTCTTGACCTAAGTGCAACTTGTAGGTGAGTGGTCACCTTCGCATCTCAGCCACCTTCCACGGAGAAAGAGCTCCAGTGCCCATTGGATATGAGGCTGGTTGGGCCCCAGAGTTAGTCTGTCGAAACTGGAGGAGAGAAAACTCTTCATCCTGTAGTAATCTCAGAAAATAACATGCATAATTTAGTTGCTAAAAGCCCAATGTAGTAATGGTAATAATGAATTTATCACTGAAAGTAACTAAATATTCCCAGAAAGTGTCTGTATGTCGTAGATTTCAAAAGGTTCAGGTGTATGGAGTGTTTTCCTCCCCCACATTATTGATTGCCATCACTATCTTGATGACACAAACACTACTTCAAGGTTAATCTGGCAGTACAGTATTGTCAGGCTTTCAAAAAGCTGTTGTGCCAGTATTGACCTCTATCAATTATATTTCAGATTGGCAGATATATTCAAGATAGCAAATGAAGAGAATAGCATCATGGGAATTATACATGCTTGTATGCTTTCACAGTGAATGCATTACAGGGTGAAACACCTTTGTACAGACAGGAGTACAAAACCGGTTCTATTCTAGAAGTGCACACGTTGTTGCCATCTGTCCATTATGGAGGTGTAGCATTTTGACTGGCAGTAAGAGTATTAGTTTAGCCAGTAATAACAAACTATTTGACCACTTTCCTCGCCACATCAGTGAGTAATTTCAAAAATCCTGATACTGCAGAGGAATCTCCTGTCTTATGGCAAAAAATGAGTATGTGCTTTGGTGTAACCAGTGGCACTTTGCAGGATTAATGAAATGGATAAAGCTTCTTTGCACTAATTCAAGATCCTTCAGAAAATAAATTGTAACTGTATGAAAGAGAGACAGTATATCTTTAATGTGAATACAATTACTCCTCTCACTTTTCCAATTTTTTCTACACAGGCTGTCACCCAACACAATCGCTAATATACTGACATGAGCACTACAGAGTGTAAACAAGCAGAAGTAGTACATTTAGTGTTTTTGACTGAAGCTCTTTCAATGTAGTTTTTTTCCCTCTATTTTCTTCGGTTGGGGTGAGACAGTCCACTTGGTATGTTGAACACTGATTGGCCTATTGTAGCAGCCATGGATGATAGATGATAATGAATGTGGAGTAGTCAGTGGAATGAGAATTGGTAGGGGAAACTGAAATACTCTGAGAAAACCTGCCTGAGTGCCACTTTGTTCACAAATCCTACATTACCTGACCTGGGCTCGAACACAAGCTGTCACAGTAGGCGGCTAGTGACTAATCACATGGGCTATGGCATGGCCTATACCTTTCAGTGTAGCTAACACAAATTCTCTTCCTCAATTTCTTAGTTTTCCATTATTTTGTTGACCCCCTGCATGTATATGAAAATTGATATTTATATGCATAAAGATTGGTAGTACATTTTGTGAAGGTTGTTAGTGCATTGCTACGATTGTTGTACTGTTGAAATGAAGGAATGTGGTGATGGAACTGCAAATGGAGGAACATACCATCTTGGATTGTAAACTGTAGTAGGACCAAAGAGCAACACTGAGAACAGCGAAGAAAGATGCTCAAAATCAGTAACAGACCTCTTAAGGCTAGAGGAAAAACAAATTATGCAAGGCGTTTGTTACTTCATTAACATTCCTAAATTATTTAAAAAAAAAAGCATTGTACAGAGTTTTAAAAGTGTATTCTTCGTGTTAAGAGAGATGTTCAAAAATCGCGGGGTGACCATTATGATAGATTAAAATGTTTATAAGAATATGCTACAGAGACCGGGATGGGCATTGCCTAGGTAATTTTTGTATATGCATGAGTTTCTCCAAATAAGTGAAAAAAAAAATGAATAAATTATTTCCCTGTTCTGATGAACCCCTGCAAACGATCACGGTTGTAGCTGAAACGAAGCATGATCGATATGTGTAAATGACGTTATAGTGTATCTTTTGAAACCTGCGACCCCTGGCAGTGGTTCCTTGGCAGAACTGACCGATCTGACACTAGTAATCCGTGGGACTGTCCGAACTGTCTGTGCCCTAACAGCTGACAGACTCTACGTTGAGTATGGGTTATGTCTCCATGTATTGCAAAATGAAATTTATTATGTAGGCTAGGTAACGCAGAATTTGCTGTATAGTCTACAGATGATTTGTGGATTGTTAATGTTAATTTTCAGTTTGGTCATTTGCTGGACGAAATGTAACATTTTTCTGGTAAGTGGGCCCGTGAAGATTTGTTCATCACAATCGTCATTGGTCGTACAGTATTCTTGATTTGGCGTTAGTAAATTATGTTGTGTTATGTTATATTATGATAATTTGATGCCGATGAGGTTCGCCTAGAATAAGGGACAAATTTTATCCCAAATTTTATAGGTTATGTCAGGCTAGGCGAGATTGTCTTAGCGTAGTGGTATGCTACACTTACTGTTCTTCTCCCGTTGTACAATAGTGTGGCATTCAAGGTACGAAGGACAGTTGGGGCGCAATGTGATGTATGTCATTCAAAGATGAAAATTTTGATGTTCGAGCAACAAAAATTATATCTGTTTTTGACGGTATAAGTATGACAGATTATTTAAATAAGTAAGTAATATTAAATTTATATGCAGATTTCAGTAAGCACCACATAAAATACTAAGTCCGTGACTGGCAGCAGATTCAGCATTTGCTGAAGATACTTGGATCATGTAGTTTGTGGTTCTCTTAGTGTAAGAAAATGGACGGTAGTACAGAACATTTGATTTTTCATGCCAGTCAATTACAGCATCCCCCCCCACTTGGTGAAGGTGCAGTGCTGTAGATTAGTATTAGGGGTTTGGTCTGTTTGAACCTCAACAAGGATACTGGGTGCCCTGTCCAGCATTTTTTGTAGTTTTCTTCACTTTCTTTGAGGAAATGCCAGGTAGTATCAGGATACAGGCAATGTATTTGGTTGAATATGTCACAAGATATATGAGTGTACTTTGAAGACCTAGGCATTGATGGAAGGATATTATAATTGGTATTACAGCAACTAATGATGGGGATGTCAACTGGATTTGTGTGGCTGAAGGTAGCAACCATGGCAACCATTGAAGTTCATCCATAAAAGGGGATTAATTTATTGACTGGTAGAGCAGATACTTACTTTGAGTTTGCATATAGTTAGTCCATTCTTCATTATTTATTTTATCTCACTTTTTATGTTGATATAGTCAAGTAAAATTCCACATGACTACAAAGCATCACTTGTAATCACTGCTGTGAGAACCTTACATCCAGCATGCTATTTGTGATTTGTCTGAAGTTTGCCAAAACAGACTGAAAAATTTTGTCTTATATGTTTGGTTTATACTAATGTAATACAAGTTACTGAATCATTTTTGTAAAGGTCACTTATAAACTCCACTGTCATATCCCAAGGGGTGTGCCCGTCTGAGGCTGTTTCAGTTAGTGGTAAAGGGGTAAGTGCCAAATTCTCTACCAGGACACTGATTTTGATTGCAGTTTTAAATGAATGTTGTTTCAGTGAACAAAGTTTTGAAACATGGCTGCCATTCGACACACACTACAACGTGATGTTTTCCAGCCAAATGACGAACATTTGTTAGCAATTGTCCATGTTAGCAAGTTGCTTAAGAAGAAGAAAACCAGCTTCCTGTGCATTGCTATTACAACAGAAAAGCCTATATGTGTTTCTATTTACCAGGTATGCCAAAATTCTTGGTTTTGCGAGCATGTTTATAGTAACTAATTAGTCATTTAAATGGAAGGACTGAATGTGGGCCATGATATACATAACTACATGATGCAGTTCTTAAAAATAGTTTCACTTGCACATTTCTTGATAAAATCTTATTGATCACTGTAGTATGTACAGCCATTGCTATGCGACAACTGTGAGATAAGGCAAATAAACAGCGATCACTTCTAGGCAACGGCTCTATAAACACATTTCCACCGCAACAGATATGCACACAACAATAGAAGGCTGGCATTTTCTATGTGGTCCATGCCAAGAAGTTGAAGCAATCAGTTCAGTTGAGTTCTGCAAGGGAGGCTGAAAAGAGATGGCACTATAATTAAGATATTCACCAGACAGTAATGATATGAGCACAAAAGCTGAAGAATGCTGTTACCAGACAACAACTACTGAAGACACTGCAGACTGAAGAAGACTTTGTGAATTGTGGAGAGTAGCGATGGCACTGTAATTGCATATTGTTTCTGGTCATGTGTATAAGTGGTCAATAAATCCATTTACCAGTCCAAATCCAGTCTATAATCATGCACCCCTAAATTGTGACAAATTTATAAAAGTGTACTTGTAATGTAATTACTTCATACTTACATACCTGTGGTAAAATGTGAAAGTTTCAGACCCTAATAAAAATGTTTGTTTATTTATGTTTAAATGTTTATTATTTATTTATTTTTCTGTTTTTACTTGTATTTATTTTTATTAATTTGTTTATTTATTTTGTGGATCATTGTATCGTATTCTACCAACCCGAGTATTTAAAACTGATTCCCCATCAGTGTAGAGTGTGTGTTTGATACTTCTCGCAAGTTATGCATTGCAACAGTGTCATGCTGATGATGAGGTGTAATAGAGCTTCAGCGTCCAGTTGGTTTGTTTTCATGCTTTCTGAAGATCATTATGATAAATTTGTGTTTTTAAGACATATGGATCTGAAATCTGCTGTTATGTTGCCCATATTCATGTGTTCAGTTGTGACAATCAGCCTGACTTGGTACTAATTTAGGAACTGTAGTTTACCATTTGCTGAGTTAAAGTTCAACTTTAAATTCACAGTCCTATTTTTTTAGGTTAAGAAGACTGATAAAAATGTATTTAAGAAAAAGAGGTCATGGATGCTGAGTGAACTTAAATCAGTTGATGGAAAGAATATATCTGGTGTAAGTAGAAACTTAGAAGTTCTGAAGAGGCAAGCTGTTATTGCTGTTATGCACAAAGGCTAATGTAATGATTAATTCCATTTTGTCATTTCAGGATACACATGAATTTGATTTACAGTTTGATAAGGTATTCAAGTGGTTTGCCATAAACCTGCAAGAAAGACAAAATTTCCTTGTTGTTCTATGGAAGGTGGGTCATTATTTTATGTAATTGAACCATACAAATATTTCTACAAACTGTTGGTACCAGAGAGAACTTAGACACATTTTTGAAGTCACAAGAATTTGCCATGTGAAACTTAATGTGTTTATTCACCAAGCAGATACTTGAAAAACAAACCCTTAATATGTTGTACAGTAAAAATGTCTGTGAGTGTTTGTATATGCATATTTGCCTGTCCTGGTGATGTATTTTTACTGCATACTGTGTTTGAAGTACTGAAGTTACTTTCTACTGTCACACATTTCTACCAGTGTAATGCTGTTAACATTCCTGCAGAAATTTTCATGTAACTGCAAACAAGTGCCCCCCTCACCAAAATTTTGCCCAGTGGAGTCACATCCTTTTTTAACTGAACTTTTCAATTGGCTTGGATCAGAAATTTCAGGATATGTCTGTTCCCATGTGTTAACAAAATACATTGCATACAGAAGTAATTTCTAGAAAAACAGAAGGAACCAAATTCATTTAATACTGAAGATACTTTAAAATATTTATAGAAGTGTACATTTATTTGTTATTACACATATTAAATGAGCATAATCACATACATTTGCAGCAGTGTTTCAAGCATCTTCCAAAGCAGAAGCCACAGTTCCATAACTTACCAGAAGAATGGATTGGAGACACAGGACTCTTTGTTGAAAATGAAGTGGCTATAACACCAGGTATTTTAACCCTTCAAGCCTGTTTGTCGTTTTAACCATGGAAATCCCCAGAATTGTCATTGTTATAAAGTCAGAAAATTAATAGCAGTCCAAACATTGCCCATCCTTTAATCAGTTTATTAAATATTATATTTCAGCATCCTGGTTTAATTTGCAGGGGAAATGTTACTTCTGTGACATGTTCTCAACCTTATAAGGTCATCATCAAGCAGATACTTCTGTGTAATTTCTGCACTGTATTGCTTTTTCTAGTTCAGTATTCTAACATAAATGCAGTACAGTGCAGCAGTTATATAAAAGTATCTACTCAATGATGACTTATAAGGTTGTAACATTTATCAATGTGACAACATAGCACACCAACAGTCTATGAGCATAACAAGAAGTTGCACCTTCAAGAAATTCAGCAGCAGTTGGAAATAGTTTTGATCAAGTTTTACAATGGTGAAGTAGAAAAAGCAATACAATGCAGTAATTATGTAAAAAGTATCTACCTTGTAATGACCTTATGAAGTTAAAACATTTATAAAAGTGATAACATCACACATCAGTGGTCTTTGACTATGACAAGAAGTTGCACCTTCAAGACTGCCCCTGCAAAATTAAGTAATTAATTATGTATTTGACATGTACATCTTAATATAAAGATGCAAACAAATTCTTCACTGATGTGGAAAATTAAATATCAGAGAACAACAATAATGAACCAAAATTAAATTTTGGGAATGCTTGCCACCATTCAGCCTAAAATCATTTTGTCTTTCCATTTCTAATTTAAAAACCTGAATATTAAAGTAAATCAGGACTATAATTTTAGCCTATATATATGCAATTTAATATCTTACTCTAAGGGAAGAACAGATTGATACTGTTTTGAGAACAAAGTACTAAGGATAATATTTGACATAAGAAAAAAAAGTAATAGGAGGATAGAATGACTGCCTCTGTGGTCTAGTAGTCAGAGTTCCTGGCTACAGATCCAGAGGTCTGGGTTTGATTCCCAGTGCTATTGGATTTTCTGAGAAGTAGTGGGGTCCACTTAGCCTTGTTAGGATAATCAAGGAGCTACTTAAATGGAAAAGTAGTGGCTCTGGTCTAGAAAAGCGAAATTAACGGCCATGGGGATTCATTGCGCTGATCACGTGACACCCGCTAAAGTTGGCACTAACTTGGCCAACAAGCAGTGGTCACTCAGTTGGTATAGTTCACTTGCAGACTAAAACCNTCACTTGACACCCACTAAAGCTGGCACTAACTTCGCCAACAAGCAGCGGTCACTCAGTTGGTATAGTTCACTTGCAGACTAAAACCTGAATTAGTTTAGTTTAGGAGGATAGAATAAACTGGATGGTGAGGAGCTTCATAATATTTTCTCTTTACCACACAGTAGTATGGTGATCAAGTGAAGGAAGGAGAAATGGGGAACATGATAAATGGAGAAGAGATTTTAGATGGAAACACTGAAGGGGTGAGACCACTTCAAGCATGTAGGCATAGATGTGAGGGTAACATTATGATGGATATTAAGGAAGTAGGATATGAGAATGTGGTGAGCAATTTCTTCATTAGTTAAGAAACTTTTAGGTCTTCAAGAAGACCTCTTTTCCAAGGAGTTTATTTTAATATATTGCCATTCTTTTGCAGAGAAGATTTTTCATCTTCCCATCATATGCTTTAGAAAACTGAATGCTGTCCATATATTTCAGATATTTTTGATGCTGAATGGAAAATGTATGAGAACGTCTGTTAGTCCTCCTTGAATTTTTATGTGGTTGTTGAGATAAATGAGTCTGATTGTTTTATAACATAGTTTTTCATTCGTTTCATTCTGGTCTGTCACACTAACAATATCATGAAAAGTTAAGCAGTTCCATCCAGTGTGACTAGTGAAGATTTTTCTTAAAAAGCAACATAGCGCGTGACAAACACATACAGGACAACATCAAAGGACCCTCTTCTCAAGAATGACAAGGTGGCACACGTTCGGCTCCCATCTAGAGAAATAATAAGAGGGACCACACGAACATGCTTAGTTTACGAATTCAAATAGTCTCTTAACAGACCAGTTATAAATATTTTAAAGTATCTAAACAGCCGCTGTATTTGTAAAGACTTTAGATTTTATACCCAATTGTATATTATTTTATATGTGTACATTTTAACTTTCAGAACATATATTGTAATAGTAACTTCCAACTGTATTGATGTAGAGGTGTCCCTCTGATGATGGTCTCTGAAGACCGAAACATGTAAGGGCATAAATAATTTAAATAAAAATCTTCACTAGTCACACTGGATGGAACTGTTTAACTTTTAACAATCAAGTTCCTTCCGTCAAATGTGACACTTTTTTAAGTTTTCCACCTCGTCAGCACCTGCCTTACATGTTTCGGCTCACCACGGAGCCATCATCAGAGGCATTTATAGTAGAAAAAGAAATCACCAACACACAAAACTTCACTTTGTCCAAGATAGCCACGTTCCAGTTAATTAAAATAATTACAAATAGTTAAAATTACCCAGAATGTCGGTTCACTAAAAGTTTTTCACACACCACAGTAGCTTCCTTATTTGATTCGTCGTTAATTCTGTAAAATTATGTTTCGTTATTTGAAGTAAGAATTCTTAAAATCCCTAGAATTCTTTCCCGCTTGGCCCAATCTTTTTGCTTCGGGATGTT